CTCTTGGAAGTAGTAAACCTAGAAATGGATAACTCGCTGAAATGACCTCGTTGCAATAAAGTAAGCAGTCACAAAAAAACAATGCACTAGGAAAGTAAGGTGAGGTAGTTATTGAGAACTTGACTGTATTTTTACTTCCCAAAAGCGGTCGTTAATATTCCCATACAAACTCTTACATTTTCGTCATGACTCTTATTTCGCAAGATGATCATTTCACACCTGGAGCTTGGGCTGCCTGTGGCTGAGGCCGACACAAGTTGATCCACTTATTAACAATGTCAGTAATAGGGTTGCCAATGAGAATTCCCCTCAGTGTATTCTAGACTTTGAAACGACTGGCAAATGTCTAGTTATCAGAAGCGGGGAACTGAGTTGCGAGCATTCCTCATTATTAGTGCTTCGGCACAAGCCCTTGAGCAACGCGAGCCGGCGAGAGGTCTGTAAGGGGTCTGGCACTAATAATGTAGTTTCCACACTCTCACGATATTCTCTGAGAAGTTTCAAGGATTTTTTTCCATCATCCATTTCATTGTTCCATAAGTGACTAACTAGACAGAATACAAAATGTTTTCACATGCTATGAAAATAAATGTTCCAATTCCTCTTGCGATTTATTTTTCGTCTCAGGAAGATAAGCAAAGAAAAACAACCAACCCAGAAGCGAAATTCCCCCGTACAGCCAAAACGCTCCGAAACTTGTAATCCATTCAGTTAGAGACAGGAAAGTCGTGGATAATACCAAATTAGTAGACCATTTTACAGCTGTAGCAAACCCATACCCCGTGCTACGGGCCCACAGGGGGTAGATCTCAGAATTTATCGTCCATGGCAGCGGCCCCATCCCCAGACCGACCGCGATGATGTATAACACGAGAGCTAAAGTTGCTAACCACGCATACTTGTAAGGACAAGCTTGGTACGACCATGTTACGGAATGATCTTTTCGACTGCATCTACCAAAAGCGGCCGTGTTGTCGCTAGAAGATACATTGATTGGAACACAAGAACCATATATAGGATTATTGGAGGAGTCTTTACCATACCAAAATCCACAGTTTTCTTGGACTCCGAGGCAATCTAAGCAATATCCAGTAGCAGGACAATTGTTGCTGATATTAGAAATCGCTCTCTCGTTAAAGGTTATCGCGGCATCGTGTTGCTTCGCCATGTAAAATGCGCCACCACAGAGAAACAAGCAAACAGTGACCCCGGCAAGACTTCCTAATAGTAGCTTACGGCGTCCTACTTTCTCTACCAGATACAATCCAACAAAGGGAAACGTGAAATTACCAAAATATATCACCACAGCAAGCCAGAAGGCTGCTTGGTCTCCCTGTACACCTGACATCTGTAAAATAGTTGCACAGTAGGATCTAGAAACAAAAAACACACTTTTATCAAAACTTTACTTTATTATTGGTGTAAAGACCAGGGGTAGAGGGCATGTGCCACTGGCCTTTGAGAACTCTGGGGCAAATGCAATTTCACAATCTCAGCCCAGTCCCTTTCTGTTTATGCTTCTACTTTATAAAGTAATTGGTCATCCTTTTATGCTGGTCGATTGTTAAATATCAAACAAAACACGATAAGATCTTTTAAACCGCAAGTCTTCCTATTTTTAAATCGTTTCTTGACTCAAAATGCCGAAAACCGTGCGACTCTATTCTAATAACTCCATTGAAAGTTTACCCGTTCTATAGTCAATCCAGTCGTGATAATGCGACCTCATCAAGCGGCACAGCCCCATTCGCCTATCACTAAAAAGTACCCCGCCTGCCACCGGGGTTGAGCGACCAGAAAATAAATAGGATTGTGGCGCCAAATCGATCTCGACAATGGAAAGAGTAAGATCACACTTGAAGATTCTCCAAGTTTGAGCCCAATACCGACAAAAGTGCCGGATATTTACGGTTTTCCAATGGTTAAAAAAAACATCAAAACTTGTGATGAAAAGATGCTGGGTGGGAAATATTAACGAGATTATATATCTCTACTTACTAACCTGTTATTTTGATGCAATGCATTCTTTACGATTGACAAGGTAACTCATCAAAGGTCCCTTTCAATCAACCTATAGTCAAAGCTATGCCACGCACTCTGCCTGGCTCGCCCAGAGATCTATATTCTAGGCTTTCAAGTTGCATAGTTAATAAAATGGTTTCACTTACAGAATCAAATTAATCCCAGACAGATCTTGCATTGATACCAACATACAGCCAACTAAAAGAGCTTTCCTTGTACTTGACGTGGTCAACATCTCATAAAATCTGCCTAAAAACAACAATGACAACCTTTTATTTTGCGGAAAACGTTTCTGTGACACTAAATAACTCACTGTGAAAGGTCTCCAAAAGTTCAGGTTTTAATAACAAAACTTGATCAGCGATCGGTAATTTCCACTGAAGAAAAATGAGAAAACGGAATGCTAGAATTTCATTGCATTGACAACAGAACAACAGCAAAAATACTTTACATGAACACGCTCAGAACCTGCTCGAGCACAGTGTGGGATCCCATGCAGGACCACCACGGGATCTGCCGAGATCTTGCGCGCTTAGATCCCACTCGGAATCCCCTTCATTATTGCCTCTGGATCACATCGAATTCAAACTCAAACCGAACCACTCGAAAGAGCTTTACGCTTCGTGTAGAGGTGTCAATTAATAACCCAACCCTCCAATAATTAAATTGAGAAACTTACTTTTATTATCATAAGATTCTTGTTCCTTACAAACGCTTTTTACAGCTTGCAACTCCTCGTTCACATCTGACGTTCCTCTAATTCTCACGAGAACTTCCCTTGCATGTTCACAGGCGCCCTGGCTGACGAGCCAACTAGGACTTTCTGGAAGCCACAGACAACCCACGAACATGA